ATAGTAGTTTTTTTTTTTTAAAACATAACTATAATGCCCCCTAAATAATAAAAAAAATAAATTACAGTGAAAGCAATGAAGATTTTGTAGGTTTTGAACCAAGCATTTTTGATTTACGGTATTTTCTTATTTTGATGATTTGAGCTCTTTTGTGTTTAGAACAATATATACTAATACTTAAAGTATCCAAATTGAATTTTTGTTCAATAAAAATCTTTCAAATGGCGACTGTAGCTTTCCCCCAAAAAAACTTTGTCTTCAAAATAAGGGTGCGTCTTATATTCCAAAAAATATGGTATGTATTCAAAGAAGAAAACATTTTAATTCAGAACTTTCAACAGTTCATTCCAGCATACATTGACAATTTTTCTTTCAACAGTTCATTCCAGTGTACACTGACAATTTTTCTTTCAACAGTTCATTCCAGTGTACTTTGACAATTTTTCTTTCAACAGTTCATTCCAGTGTACATTTGACAATTTTTCTTTCAACAGTTCATTCCAGCATACATTGACAATTTTTCTTTCAACAGTTCATTCCAGCATACATTGACAATTTTTCTTTCAACAGTTCATTCCAGTGTACACTGACAATTTTTCTTTCAACAGTTCATTCCAGTATACATTGACAATTTTTCTGCATTTCATGTTTGGATGAAGAAAAGACAATTTATCAAGTTTTACTGAAAAGAACAACTTGATATTAAGTACTTTTATTATCTTTCACTCAGATGTTTTGTAAATTCACACACAAACTTTTAGTAAAAATACTTAACATATTTTTGTGTACAAATTTCGTGAAGATACACTTTCAGTTCATTACTAGGTCCACCTTACTTATTTCATTGTAACTAGATAATCACAGCAAAGGAACATTTAGTAAACTGATGGTGCTATGGGTTGTACATGTAGCGGCATCCAAAATCAGTAGTGGCTGACTGGCAAGAAGATTCTAGTCTTTAGCCATTGACTAAGAAACACCAGTTAGAATTTTTTGTTTTAGCCAGTCATATTATAAATATTTAGACTAGCTGTGAACAACTGTAAAAGGTATTGATAAAAAAGAAAGCT